CTTTAAAGTCCAGAGCTTGTTAGCACTTTCTTGTCCCGCTGGGCGACTTCTTCGAGCCACAGGTGGACTCGGACAAAAACCCGGCCAGTGGAGGTGGAGCGAGCGGCTTCCCTTGGCCCCGGAGAGCCAACAAGAAGAGCACTTTTCGCTTTTCTCACTTTTCACATTTCCTCATACTTTGTATCTTCCCTCTGTCGTTTTTCACGTCAATTGCACCAGAGATTCTTGAAGCAGTTTCTGTTCCCGATAGTATACTGTAGTGTGAGGTAGGTGAAGCATTACCTGGTAGTTACTCTTCTTTGGGCATTGTGGAAGGGCTGGTCGCGTCTCAAGGTCTTGCGGTCCCGTTCTTGTGGGGACACCCCCCCCCCCCCACCCCCCGCCCAGCCTGACCATCTGTAGATTTCATGGATACATCGTCACGTCTTACAGGATCTCAATACACTGTGACCACATCTGAATAGTTGTGTCCGATGAAACATATCCTTTAAAATATATATTAACTGATGACATAAATGTGTGAGGCGTCATTCATCCTCTTCAGTTGGAAATGTATTAAATATGTTCCTGTATAGAGATTTATTTTATTTTGAAAAAATAAAGGAATTTTAAGTGATATCAGTATAATTATACCTGTACTTTGATTTTAGCATACTTTCAAAATGGAAAATAAGTATTAAGCCTGTTCTTTCTCTTTTCGTAAGAAATTAACGAACACTATTCCTGTATAATGATAAATTTCACTAGTAAAGCGAAAACATTACCAGTGAAAAAATAATCTCAGACGAATGATTTTGACAACACACACACACACACCAAATAAAAAAAAAACTTTGACCATACATTCACCTTTACCTGAGATGTAAAAACAGTCCGCCACAGTCACTGACCACAAGGTAGGTCAGGGTGATGAACGAGAAGTGCCCACCTCATTATACTGATCCCCCACCTCTCCCCTCAGCGCCCTGACCTTTGACCTAATTCCTTATCTGCAGGTACGCGGCCAGATAGTCATTAAAGGCATGGAATATCTCGGTTCTTATATACATTTACACGGTCAGACAGTCATTAAAATGTTATGCAGAGAATACCGTTTCCTAGTTACAGTTACATGGTTAGACAGCCAGTTACTTCTAGTTACAGTTACACGGTTAGACAGTCACTTTGTTTCTTAGCTATAGTTATACGGTCAGACAGTCAGTTTGTTTCTTAGCTACAGTTACTCAGAGAACAATGAACAGTTTTTCTAAATGTTAGCTCTATTAACCAGCTGTATTGTAACATGTAAGAAATATTATCTTGGGGCTACACAATTAATTCCTCGTATACAGTTATAAATCCAGATAAATTTAAACCTCTGAGGACAAAAGGATTAAACCCGCTGTCTTAAAAAAAAGAGTTAAATAAAAAACATCAAAGGGTTAAATCCTCTTTATTTACTGTAAGATTTAAAACTTAAGGGTTAAACCATTGTCTTCATGGGTTAAACCATCGTCTTTAAATGTTTTAACCATCTATATCAAAGGTTTAAACCATCGTCTTCAAGGGTTAAACCTTCGTCTTCAAAGGTTTAAACCATCTATATCTAAGGTTGAAGCCATCGTTATCAAGGGGGTTAAACCATTGTCTTCAAATGTTTTAACCATCTATATCAAAGGTTTAAACCATCGTCTTCAAGGGTTAAACCTTCGTCTTCAAAGGTTTAAACCATCTATATCTAAGGTTGAAGCCATCGTTATCAAGGGGGTTAAACCATTGTTTTCAAATGTTTTAACCATCTATAGTTAAGGTTTAAACCATCATCTTCAGAAAGTTAAACTCACTCCTTATTAAACACAAGATGAAGAGCTCAACATCTGCACTCAATAAAGATTAATTATGACTGTACTTTCGATATTGACTGTGAATGTGGACTGGTGTAGTGAGCTCCAGTCGTCCCTTGATAAGAACATAAGAATGGAGGAAACTGCAGCGGGCCTATTGGCCCATACTGGGCAGTCCCGTTTACACCCAACCCCTATTGCTCATATAAGCATCCAACCTATGTTTGAAGCTATTCAGCGTATTCGAGTTAATGATGATATTTGGTAACTTGTTCCATTCATCCACCACTCTGTTTCCAAACCAGTGTTTACCTATTTCACGCCTAAATCTAAATTTGTCCAATTTAAAACCATTGTTACAAGTTCTCTCCTGGTTGGATAGTTTGAGTACCTATACTCAAGGTTCCTAATGCCCGGGATTAGTCTTGTCATTCTCCTCCTGAATTCTTTCCAATGATTCTATATCCATTCTGTAATACGGTGACCAGAACTGAACTGCGTAATCCAGGTGTGGTCTCACAAGAGCAAGATACAGTTTTAGGATGACCTCGCTAGTCTTGTAACTAACACTCCTTTATATGAACCCAAGTACTTTATTAGCCTTGTTACGAGCAAAAACACATTGTTTACTTGGCTAAAGGTTCCTACTTATCATTACTCCTAAATCTCTCTCGCAGTCGGATTTCTCTATGGCATCGTTGTTCATCTGGTATCTGGTTTCCCTGTTTACATCTCCTATACTGAGTACTTTACATTTGTCCACATTGAATTTCATCTGCCATTTTTCAGACCATTCGAAAAATTTGTTTAGATCTTCCTGTAGTTTTGCTGAGTCCTCGTCAGATTTAATAACACGTCCTATTTTAGTGTCATCAGCAAATTTACTTATGTTGCTGGAACACTTCTCGTTCTTAGTACCAGTTCATTGTTCTCCGTGGATGAAATTATTACGTAGAAATAACAATGCCAAAATGTTGTTATTATTAGTAGTATTATATGAGGGAACACAGAATAACTTTTTGTGTGTTCAACTAACAATACACAAACACACCAACGACTCACACACACTCACACACCTTCAGTCACAAACGACACCAATGACTTTACCCAAATCACCACCATCTATACACACCTACACCTGGCTATTCTTACAGGTAAACTCTGCCCTAATTTAGGCAGGTGGCGCTAGAAGACCCACCCACCCACCTATAACACGGTACAGTGGTGATTGAATGTATAAAACCGTCATTATCTTTTACGAGGTTTTATATTCTGTGTAAGTAGAATGTTAGAGGAAGAGGAGGAGGACGAGGAGGAAGGGAATGGAGATGGCAGTGGGGGTGGAAAAGAACAGTGATGGGTGAAGAGTGAGATGATAAGAGGGGGGAGGAGGAAAGAGAAGAGTGGTGAGAGAGGGAAAGGGAGGAAGAATGAGAGGGGAAGGGAGGGTGAGTAAGAGGAAAAGGGAGGACTTACGAGAGAGGGGCAGGGAGGAAGAATGAGAGGGAAATGGAGAAAGGGTGAGAGGGAAAAGGAGGACTTGTGAGATAGGGGAAAGAAGTGGTGTGGGGAGCAGAACAAGGGAAAGTGAGGAGGGTGGGAATGAGAGTAGGAGGGGAGAGTTAGATAGAAAGGGGACGAGAATGAGACTGCAGAGGGGAAGAGGAGGAGGAAATGACTGTAAAATGGGAGAGAGAGAGAGATGAAGGGAGGAAAAATGAGAGCGGAAGGTAAGGATAATGAGAGAGGAAAGTAAGGGGTGGGGGAGGAGGAATGGGGAGAGGAATAGGAAGGACGGAAGGATAAGAGAGATATTTTCATATAAAAATTCCCTGGAGTTGGTCTATAATTATTATGTTAATCAAGCTTGTTGATTGGTTGTCCACAGCAGGTGTGAAAATTTACCTCAAACTCTTACGTAAAAAGTCTAGTATATACGTTACTCTTTTGGGCGTTCATATGTATAAAAAAAATATATATCTTTTTGACATAAATTGTAATGCGTTTAAATATCAATTAATTTTATATATATATTTTACACTACAAATCTATTTTTAGTGAACTGTTAATAACTTTTATTTACATATATTTTTTTATAATTTTTATGCTGCAGATTTATGTCATAATATCTGTGATCAAAGGGGTAATTTAATATACAGTAATATAGTGATAACAGTTATGGAAGATTAAAACTCAACAACATAGCTTCGTAATTTAAGAAACTTCAATATAATGGTATAGTATTTATATCGTCATCACTAGAGATAATTTCCCTTATTTATTTTTAATCTATTTACATTTTCTCTATAAATAAGTTCTTCTACATCACTATCACTGACGTTTGAATTTCCACAATATTATGAACAAAATAAAGTTCTTTGATTTAATATCGTAAGACAAGTTTACTAGAGAGGAAGTTCTGATCTCGATAAAGGTCGTGACTCTACGTTAGATTAAGGTGGGTGAGTTGTGTCCTCTGTTGATTGATTGATGTTGTATTACTACGCTTTAACAACTAAGAGCTTTAAGCACGTATTATTGAGGATGTTATATTACTCCACTTCAACTTCTATAATCTGCAAGTGCGTGGTCTAGTTTAGTACATACACTTGTCATCAACAGTTAGAAACACTCTCTCTCTCTCTCGTCCTCAGTCAAAATTCTAAATCAGTATATCACTTTCAGTCCCCCAAGGTCATCATAAGCTAGAAAGTTTATCTTGTAGGTGTTGTTTATAAATTGATATGATCACCCTGAACCAACGCCTCGTTTTCTCTCAAGTTTGTGATTTAATATTCCTTAAACTGGTATATTCCCCCTTGATGAAGCTAGTTCTTTTGTCTCTCAGATGATAATTACGTCAGTAAGCTCGTAGACCACCTTTGTGTTAGCAGTTATTTTATGTGTTATGTCTTCAGTGTGTCAGACCTTCACTAGATTATTCACTGAAGCCTCTTAACTAGTAGGATTCCTTAGTTAAGAGGATCCCATTAAAAATCAGGTTTCCTTGACTGGCAGGACACTTTTAAATAACAGTTACCATTAATTGATAGGTCGCATTAACTACCACAACCCTTTAAATGGCAGTTACCATTAATTAACACGTTGCCTAAATTAGCAGGACGCCTTAAGCTAGTTCTCCCTCCTTGAACCAATAAGATTGTTTCTGAGACTAACTTGTAAGCGGCTAGCCAGGTCTTGGGTTTAGTAGGCTCCACCACGCTGTACTTCTTGTCCGAGTCCTCGATGTGGATGACCCTTGGGGCGTCCTCTGTCGAAGAAGAAGAGGTGGAGGAGGAGGAGGAAGAAGAAGAGGAACTGCCCCCATCTGACGATGTGGAAGAAGGTGTCGAAGACGAGGATGTATCGGAGGATGTGTTGGAGCAGGTGCTTTGGGTGTCCTCTTGGTTTTTCTCTTTCCCTTCCAACTTCTCCTCGTCTTTTTGTCCTTCAGTTTTATTTACCACGACATTTTTTTCGACTTCTTCAGTGAGTTTTGGGACGCCTTTGTCTTTCTCCACATTTTCTTTGGCATGATCCTCCTGTGTGTGGGTCAATGAGGTAACGTTTTGGTCCGTGTCACCCATGGTTTAACACCGATTGAGTATATTTAGTTTAAAGCTAAAGTTTGTCTCACTTTTCAGCCAGTCACCCGGTGCACGGAGCGATAACCCTCAACACGAACCTTAAGTCAACATGATCAACACAAGGAGTCGTGAACTGCTTGACAGATCTGATGCAAGAGCGCGGGTAGGGTGCCACCTGCTGCCCCTCGCACACACACCTGGTTGTGCTTGTTCCCTCACACACACACACACTCTCTCAGTTATTGACTCACTGCTTCACTGTTTCTTTTGAACTGCTTGTCGATGACTGGTTAAATGTTTGCTGTTACTGGGTCCCAGAGACAAGCTGTATTTACTGTCTTTTCTTCTTTTTACATTCACTGTGGTAAACAATTTTCTTTCTGCTTGTATTTTTTGTTACTTACACTTTGCGACGCACATGCTGCTAGTAACACTTGTTGAGTGCTCAGGTATAGATATGGTTAAAAATTCACTGTCACTTTGTAACAGAATGAGTGACTGCTGGTACTGGCTCTCGGTAACTGGTTGAAGTGCCTTCCACCACACCCACAAGAAAATTCGATTTTAATATTTTTTTTCTATCATTCCCACACTTGAACTGGTTCATGTGTTTGATACTCTTATTCTTCACTTAAATCTGAAAATGTCACCATCGGAGTACATCACACACCCGTAATATTGTGTTTTAATTAAAAGCGAACATCAGACACAGATACAAAATCCGTAAAACCGAACTGTCACGGGGAGCGTGGTGTGTGCACTCGTGGCGGGGTCGGGAGGTAGACTGAGGGCGCGGGCGACTGTGTTGTGGTGGGGATGTGCCGGGCAGCGGAGGGGTGGAGCTTAGAGAGCTGTGTGCCAAGACTCATTTGTACAACACCACCACGAGGTGCCCAGTTGAAAGTGAAATTCATGTAGAATTCTAAAAGTAAACAGATCACATGATAACTTTCATATTACAACGCCTAAGATAATCTATCTTTGTCTCATAGCCATCTGGGTGTTGTGAGTCTGTCTCACATCAGACTGTGGAGAGTTATCAACACACGACAATATCCACAAGATGATCCTACGACGCTTCATGATGGTCATCATAAAATGATGTGGTTTCCACCGGTAAATTGATTCCCTGCCAACACTACCTGCGCCACCACACCATGCGCTTCCTGGACACCATACATCACGTGAAACTCCTTTAGTAATGATAATGACGGGGTTGCATTGTGGTGCACGGGGAGTAATGCCATCAGAGTCAACCTTGAAGACTAAGGCATATATATACCACAACAACCTTGATGGAGGTCACACCTGCACATTGTTGAAACAAACTCCTCGACGTAACTCTTGATATGTCTTCTGATGTGTTTCATAGTAAAACACGCTCTTCGTTTTTCCATTTGTATTGAAAACAATGTAGACAGAATATAAATCCAAATTTGTTGTCCGTATATAATATAATACGTTAAGAAATCATATGTATGAAACGATTCAGAAAATGGATACTCTAAAAGGAATTCAGTATTACACACTTTATTTTTCTCCACACTGCCTCGGTAAAGTAGAAACTAGTCATCAAAACCAGTATATATAATGGCCAGACCCAATAACCTGAACGACCAACCTTATCAAATGTTTCTCACGACCTCTCTAACCACACTGGCCATCGGGTCCGAGAGCTACAGCCTGTCGATCAGACCAAGATGACCGAGAGTTGTTAATACTTATAACGGCACAGATCTGATTACCTGTTGCCCTACAAAAGACCAAAGACATTGCAATCATATACCTGATGGGTCATACTGCAAGACAAAGAAAAATATTGAATGCTAATCTATGAACCCAATTGACCTAATTACTGGATTAATCAGACCACACAGTCTGTTGGCCTTCAGACCACACCCCAGTCACATCCCAAAATCATGAACGGGTTAAACCACCAGACCTGGCCACCATAAAACCCGTGAATCAAACCGGTAAACCATAAACAGACTCAAAGACCACAAACCCAAACAAGTCGTGACCGTGTAGCTGACCGGATCACCACAGAGACCAGACGACCAGCTCCTGTTCACCACACACCAACACACCCGGTCGTCACATTAGGCCACAAGAGCCGAAGGAGACAGATGACCTTTACTTCCGAGCGATGGTCTGTTGAGGCGGCGGCTCATAGTTAATGCCACTGAGTGAAAAATATCAAGTGTATTTAGCAGACGAATGAGCTACTATAGTTTCCGATAATCCAGCGGCCTAATGGATGTTTTTACTTCAACTAGAAAATAACTTAAACTGTCTTAAGGCTTCATTTTATCCCAAGAACCTGGTTGATCAGTAAAAAGTTGATTTTTCTCGTCTTTTGATTATTTTTTTATAACTTTGACACTTGAGAATTATGAAGATATTGCAACTCTAGCGAGCCGACATATTCGGTGAAGTCAGTAGTCTTCATTACCGAAAGTTCAACAAATTTAGCTCCCAACAGTCAAAAAACGTGACCTCTTCAACCTCCTGACTTAGTCGACTGCCAATCACATTTACACTTAACAATATCAACTTCAGATACAGTTAATAGATATCAACCAGCTCAGATCTCAACGAACCCAACAATCAACCACATCAATTACCGATGCATGATAAGCTCGACTCTCCCAACGACTGGCAATCATACACGAGAACTGAAACATTACGAAATAATAATCATCTACTACGAAAATTAGTCAGAAATTAATAATACTCTCCTTCCTTATTACGAATCACGAAATTATTTTACACTTATTACTGTAAAAAGCGTTATTATAGGTACAAAATGTCAGTGGAAAGGGTTTTAGAGAGATATAATTGAACTAGAAGAATTTGTAAGCATTTAATAGCACTATAGGAAGTAATCAGAGCGACGAGGGGAGAAAATACGTCACAAATTGAAGGGAAGAACTAAATTGGCATTACTATTTCCAATTCATTTCAGATCATGACGACACGAGAATTAAAGTAACGGGAAATAATGATAATTAAAGTAAAGGAAAAATGATGAGAATTAGAATAGAGGAAAGTAATGGAAATTAGAGCAAAGGAAATTAAGGAAAATTAGAGTAAAGGAAAATAATAGAGACTAAACATATTGGAGACAAAAAAAGAAAGTGAAAGTAATTGAAATTTAGAAAAGGTTAAAAATGACTGAACAAAATAAAGAGAAAAAAACAGAAGAAGAAGAAGAAGAAGAAGATAAGTGTTTAGAAGAGAAAATAGGATGTAAGGATTGACAAAGGAACAAGAAGCGAACAAAATTGTAAAATATACCGTTTAGAAATAAAGAAATAAAACAAAAGTAAAATTTATAAAGAAAACCATAGAAAAGGTAATACAAGGAAGAAAAGTGTAAAATAGGAAGAAGAGAAGGAAGCACGATAAGGAATCTGGGAACAGGATGAACACCACAGGGGGAACAGGAGTTGAAAGGTCAGGCTGAGTGCACTGAGGCAACCAGCCGGGTCAGGAACTTAACCCGGACCCGAACTTGGGATTTGAAAGGTTCCTGCCGAACTTGAGATGTGAGCACGCCTTTGTTTACTCATTTGATTTATTACGCCAAAAAGTGGATTCCTAATGGTTCATAAGTCATAATCCCCTTCTGACTTGGATATAAAATCGTATATCTTGCTGCTCACGTCACTAACGACGTAATAATGTATTCTCAATGGTTCTTGCGTCAAATTTTCCACACTAATTGGAACATAAAGTCGTACCTAACTACTGATGGATTCTCAAAATGTCTCATGTTAAATTTGCCTATCCTCACAAGTTCCTACGTTATATTTCCTCTCCCATTGGAATATTGAAACGCATTTAACGGAAAATATAATATAAAGGTGAATTCTTAAAGGTTCCTACGTAAAATTTACCTTTAAACTGAAAAGGTCAAAACCTACCGAAATAACTTACTTACGTTATTGTATAAAAAAAAAACCACACGTATGGATTTGAAGATATACCCTTAACGGTATATTTAATTCTCTCAACCTACGACACAAAGATGGTTACCAAAATGCCGCCACGACTATAACAATATTCGACTATAATTAAATACGTTTTCTTACGCTTCGTACCTGGGGAGGTGTGTGGGGTGGGGGAATGTTCATGGACGAATCATTGAGAATCCGGACCCAAAGCGACGTAAATAATAAGGTCGACTTTGCTCAGGGTCGTTGGGATAAGAGGAAGCTTAGTGAAGAGCGAGTTGATGAAGGAGTACACACACACACACACACACACACACACACACACACACACACACACACACACACACACACACACACACAGACGAACATGGCAGAAAATGAGGGAGGGTGTGAGGGAGGGTATGGGGTGTGAGTGTGGGGGGACGGGAGGGAGGAATTGACGGTGGGTATGAGGGAGTGAATGAGGGAGGGAGGGCATGAGAGAGGGAGGGAGTGAAGGAGTGTGTGAGAGGGTGTACAAGATAAAGTTGCCAGGACTACTTTTTAACCCCACTAGTTGCCCCTGCACCTTTCTCACTAGACGAGAAGCGAGAACATCGTCTCTCTATCGTCAAGCTATCGTCTTTTTTATCGTCAAACTATCGTCATAATACTAATACTAATAATAATAATAATAATAATAATAATAATCTGTATGGTCACTTGGTTCACCCTGTAATGTTTCCGAGTCTTGTCACAGTGAAATCCCTGTTTATAAATGTTACTTCTTGTTCTATAATCCTGAGTGTTATATATGCGTGAAGTCTTCCCTAATGTGTTGGTAAGAGAATATATCCAATTACAGTACTGAAAACACTGTGATAATGTTGTTGATTTAGTTAACATCTGTGTTGCTCGTTAAGTGAACCAGCTTCATAGATATATTTCCTCACTTTTATAGTTACGGGAGGGAATTTTTTTTATTGTATCAGAATCTGCGTCTTGTTGGTTTATAATGATGTTGATGTTTGTTATAGGATAGTATGGCTTGGTGTTGCTCTCGTCTCTAATTGTAACTTGGTGGTTTTTTTATAATGTGTATCTAGAGTCGAGAATTTTATGGTTTTTTTTTGTTTGTATTATCACTTATTACTAAAACAGGTATACGTGTGGATTATTTTTAACTTGTTGTCTTGGCACTTTCATAAAACGCTTTCTACACCTGTCTAGCACCAGTCTCCTTGTTACTTCCCATCTCTTTTATTAAGAGTTTTCTCCACCCCTTGATTCAGACAAAGCAGAAGTGGGACAAGAGTATAGCTAAACAAAACTGTAATTAGAACACTGTGCTCATTTCTGCTTTACTTAACTTCAGACAGCAGGTGTGTGTGTGTGTGTGTGTGTGTGTGTTTCACTATGCTGTATTGAGTCATTGATCTACCTGAATGAGCGCCCTTGTTTCCCTTCACGCTCTCGTTCATCTGTCGCTCTTCTGTCCACCCCAACACCTACAGAGCTCAGGTCCACTGCCAGGAGCTGTCTGTAGCCTCCAATAAGTCCCTCTTGCTTCCTGTCTTCCTCCCCTCTCTCTTTATCCACCACATTTCTTCTTCGTCATTATCCTTCATGTTCTGTACTGTATCTCTTCCTCAATTCATTATTTTCCACTGTCCGATTCGTCCATTACTCGTCACTGTCCGCTTCGTCTAATACTCGTCTCCACCCATCCTCCTAACACCCCCGAGGCAGCTACGGTTCACCTTAATGGTTGCTGCCTTAGGCGATATCTAACCCTTTCCTGTGTTTAATTCACCCTGTCTTACCATCCTGTAACTCCCCCCCCCTATTCTTCCATCTGTTCCT